AGCTAGTCAAAAAGTGACTGACGAAAAATTGTGTTTAGAGATAAAACTGGAAATAAATTCTGCTTACAGCAAAAAACCAGAAACAAATTGCTATCAAATATCTATCTATTACCCTCAAATATAAAGGTGCAATTGAGATTTGAACACTCCAGCTAATCAGAACTTGATAATTTAGGTAAAGGACTAGAGGTAAAATGGTCAAATATCCATCCGTCGTACAATTACACTGTAAAAAATTTCTGTAAGAAGTACTGGCACTCTGAGGGCTGGTACTTTACCTTATTATAAATTTTTATCAGAACATGTTGCAGAACAAAAATTCTGATACATCGTAATTTCTACAGTAATAATTACCATAAAGTCAGAGAATAACTCCAATTAAATAAATATCATTATCAAAATGATGGTATATTTTACGGTAAAAATAAATGGATTTTAGGTTTAAAATGGATTTTAGGTTTAAAATGGAATTAACGGATGATACATCCAAAGTGCCGGTCCTTTATTCCGTAATTTGATACAGAATTTCTTACAGTGTAAAAAAAACGTGGTAAAGAACAAATGCACCAACAGACAGTTGGAAAAAAATGCGAATCATTACTCATAAATCGCAGTTTAAATGTTTAAATTAATTAGTAAATATTGTGTATTGCATGATTTTTCTCAAAAGTAGCATAAACAAAATGAGCATTTTAACTCTAACTTCAAAATATTTAATAATTTTTTTATTCCTATTTCTTAACGCTCATTAATTTTTAAAATATTTGCCTGTACTTTGCCTGACATGATTAAAATGAAAATGCTAGTTATTACATCAAAAGAACTTTCAAAATTTTCTGACAGATTGTGGAAAAATCATTGCATTTTTTACAGACCCTAATTGTGAATACAATTTCAATTTTTAAAATTTTTGATTTTTGACAGTAATGACGACTTTCTTTATCAAACTGTAAAATATAATCCGCTATATGTGCTACCCATTCTATTTATTCGTTAATAACCTGTTTCAATGTTTATCGATTCAGAGTGCTATCGTATTTAATCAGACTCTATCATTGTATCATCAGACTTTATCATCATATCATCAGACTTTATCATTGTAATTCAATATTTGAAGAAAAAATCACGCATCAAAAGTCAATTAGACATACACTCGATTCATCATTCCTTTATGAACGTTTCATTTTCTTAATTTTTTGATTTGAAATATTTCTAATAACACGAATATATGAAATACGAATTTATAACCTGACATTTTCAATTTATATGCAAATGAGGTAGGATTACTTTTAATGCTATCAATAGCTTTTAATGAGAAAATATGATGGAATGATCATCGAGAATGTTAAGAACGATTCCTATTAAAGGATTCAAATGAATCGAAACAAATAGGAATACATAAAGAATTTCGTAAAACGCTTATGAAATAGGTGTCGTTTAATAATGTAACAGTCATAATATGCGAAAGATGATTAATTTGCCTAATTTTCTGAATTTATTATCAGAAAAATCATTATTTTTGACTTAACAAATGTTTTTAATTTAATACATTTAGATTTTTAAAGTGCTCTGCAAAAAATGTGGTGTAATACCTTCCCGAATTTGGTGTTAAAAAAACTCCAAAAACTGTGTGATTGATTCCATTGTTTCAAGTTACTACTGAATAAAGCATTCTTACACACTCAAAAGGGTGTAGTTAAATTTTACCACCGATAATTGATTAAGTTTTTACCAATCTGCAGTTCGTTGGTGAAATTTGGTGAATAATTTCTTGTATATTTAAATTTTTTAACTAAGTTTTCAAGAGAAATAATGGTATGGCAGGTTTTGAAAAGTATATCATATGCTTTTGAACCTTTATTTGAAGTTTAAAGGCAAATAATCGTGCAATTTTGTGCAATCGTGCTCTTTGGCTCCAAACCATTTCAATGGTAAATGAATAAAATGCTTAAGCTTAAATTTTCTTAAATTAAAATATCGACAACAGAATCTGTTTTGAAGCAATAAAAAAGTTGAGACATTTCAATTTAATATTTCTTTAGATGTAAAAATCTCATTATCTGCCATGGTTGTTATTAAAAATCAATAAGCAAAATGGGGATAGGGGTTGATATCATGAGAGCTATGATGCCTAAGAAGGAATTTTCAAATTGATAAATTATATTTCGTGCTGAAATATCCATACTACATTTATAAATTTATTTGCTTAAAAAATGTATATCGCTTGTTGCAATAAGGTCACAATCGTATGAATAATGCAATTTAGTGATTTTAGTGTTATTCGACATAGTATTAAATGTATGAAAGGGAAATATGCTTTCTTAATTTTTATCATTATTTTTTTATTAATTTAATGGTAATAGAAAACAAATATAAAAAAAGGATAACTTAAATTTGAACTATTGTAATTTCAAATTCAAAGTGCGACCGAAACCGAACAGTAATAAAACAGAAATATTGTACTTTGAATATTGAATTTTTATATACATAGAACTATTCTACTAAATCTATTTAAACTTTTGGTATTACCATTCAAAATAACATGCTTTAAAATATTGAAAAGATTTCTAAACTGTATATTTCGAAAAATTTTCGATTGCTATTAAATGAATAGAGAAATAATATTTTTATTTCATTTAAGGATCATTGCAAAAATATGTTTTATAATTGAGCTCAAAGGCTTATTAACTAGCCTCACAATTCGCTGCAAAAGAAATTTCAAATAAAGACGTATAATTTGATATGTGAATAATATCTATAATCAAAATAAAGTACAATTTCACATGATTATGTGTATGAGCGTTATTTATTTGACAAGTCTTTGTGAAGTAAAGTTAGAATTATTGAGATTAAGCTTTCGTCCGTTATCCTGACAGAGCTATTGGAATCAAATTTTCCAGTTTGATTTCATTCCTTATATTTTAATGTTAAATATGGTATAAAGTATCAGCACATAGATTGCTGGTAGTTTTTACAGTATAGTCCATTTTCACCGGAGCATGATACGGAACAAAATAATTCAATATTAAGAAATTTTTTCAGTAATAATAAATCCGTAAGAAGTAATAATAAATTCATAAAATCGCTGAATCACTTTAATTAAATAAATACAGTATATTATTCTACGGTTAAAGTGGATTTTACTGATGATGTACTTAAAGTTCCGGTATTTCATACTGTAATTTGATCCGGAATTTTAATCTGTGTATGTAATTTGATAAAATGTCGCTTACATTTATTTATTTTTTTATTTAAGATACAAATTAATATTCGAGAATCAAAGTGATCAAAAGTTTTATAAAACCTTTTGCTTCTATATATATTTTAAAAGTTTCAATTTCGTATTTGATTAAATCTTGCCTCCATTAGTACTTGTAGGAAGGAAATAAAATAAATTTATTTCTCTTTACTTTTATCCTGCAGTTTCATTATTTAATTTAGTTTTATGTAACTGCAGTGTTACTTAACACTTGTCGAGTTTTTGTCGAGTTTAAGAATAATGACGTAAGATTATATGTAATCCGAATTTAATGATCTAATTAAGCCGAAGAAAAGTTTTAAAAATGGCAGAAAATTAAATTAAAACCTTCTTCAGTTAAGGAGTTGCTGAATAAGTCTTCAATATTTGAAAGATTTTCTTCAATAAAAAACATGTTACTTAATCTACTTGTATTTAGTTTCATTTTTAACTAACTTAAAACCCTTTCACAGAAAAAGAAAAAAGCAACAACAAATTTCAAGAAATTAATAAGATGTAAAAAGAAAATTAGATTTTTTCTCGAAACTACTAAGTTCAAGTAGATAAAAAACAGCCTCTGTGGTTGTATACTAAAAATAGTTTTTTAACACAAATCAAGCGATAAAAACAATTCTGGTATAATTATCGTACTGTATGGTAATAACATTTAATTCTGTTAAATGAAACCAAAATATACGGTATTTAAACAATTCATTTGGTAATTTTCCTGTTCATATGGCAACGGTTTTCCGGAAATTCTAGTTTTCAAAATTATAGTTCTTATTAACACACATTTAATAAAAAGATCAAAATTGAAAAGAACTAACCAAATAACTGATTTTTATGCCAAGCTCTAATGTGATATAATTAAATTACCAAACTTTACCATATTTACTAAATTTTATCACATATTATATTGTTAACTTAATATTGTTCATTGTTAACTTAACCGAAAACATTTCCCCAGCGTTTTGGTAAACGCTACCGAGCTTTTCGGTGTTTCCATCGATCCAGAAACACTGCAAATTTCACCATATTCTTGCAAATAAATTTGACCCATTTTTTGGTAAAGACATTGTTTATGAACTGTAATATTTAGTTCTATATTTAGTTTACATACTTGAAGACCTTAATCGAAAACGAAATCTGCGTAGTACCCAAATCTAAGGAATGGGATGGAAATTGAAAAATTTTACTAAATTATTGATAAAAATTTAGGTTTTAATATAGTTTTCCAAAATGCCAAATTTCATGGAAGCTGCTTTTTAAAATCTTACGTTACATTCCAAACATTTCAAAATATAGATTTGTTTCATATTTATGCTCTTAAAAATGTTACATTTTACATTCTTGGAACAAAATCAATCAATATATAAATTTTTAAACCCATATCCGAGGGACCTAAATATTTCTGATTCAACTAAAATATTTTTGGTAAACATATAGTAGCAATTTTTTATCAACTTTAAATTTTAAATGTCAAAAAGAATTTATTGCTTTTACAAATACTATTTTCATTTTTTATACACAAACAAGAAAGACTTTTCTTAATTGACAAAAAATTTAGTTTTTACTTAACTGAGTGCTCTTTACAAAAACTAAAATACTAGTTTGCACATTCACATTTTATTTGTTTTCAAGTACAGCGCCAATTTTTTTTTCGCAAACAGAAAAAAAAATCATAGTTTCCGAAACTTTGACCATATCGTTCCAAAATTTATTTCATTTGCATTTAGAAAGGAAAAAGAAAATATTCCTCTTTTCCTTTTCCTCATCCCGAAAAACGATTTTCGGCCATGTTTCTTCCGGACACAGAGATCACCCGGCAGATGTCGCTTCCATCGCTTTCCAGTCGATCCGATCGTTGCCACCGTTCCACGCTTCGCAAGGAAAAAAAGATTCCAGTGCATCATCATCCTATGCGGCCGGGTCCAAAGCCCTATTTTCCTGCTGCTGCGCGAAAAGTGTGCTAGGGATAATATCATTTCATACAACTCACACCAGCGTGCATTTACTCCTGGTACAGATAACATAAATTCAGAGGAAATTACGCCAAATGAAAAAACAGACATACAATAAGCACCTTTTCTACTCTATGTGATTACTTCATTATTTAACCTAGCCCTCCTATTTCTCCGAGGAGGCGAATCTAGGATTTCTGACAGTCAAGGTAAGGTTGTGATATTGGTTGTTTTAATACTACTGACATCATTTCTTTGTAGTGTTCTTCGCCAAATGTTTTAGGGCCATCCCATGGGTATAGTTTAAGTGCGATAAAGAGTTTTTTTTTTCCGGTTATAATTTTTCTGGGACTCAGGTTATTTCGCTTTTATTTTGTGAGATTTATAGACAGCTTGTTATTCAGTTGTTTTTAATATTTTTTTCTAGTTTTTCGGGATGTGTCACTAAGGGGAAAAGGATTTTGAAGTTGTAAAATTGAATTGAATTATGCTGTTTTTGATATATTGAAAAACAGACATTTGAAAATGATACTGTTGTGGTACCATAAATAATATTAGTCTGGTAGAGTACTATTGTGTGTTTTAATGAAGTAAAAAAAGTAACTGCGTTGCTGTATAACGTTAATTTGTTTTTAGATATAACGTTAATTAAATAAATTAATTTCAATTTCAATTTTCTGAAAATTGATTTCCTAAGAATGAAATTTTAATTGAAGACAATTATTTACGGAAAAATAATACGATCTGCAGATAATTTTCAGGTTGGTTTATTTTAGTTTTTTGGCATATAAAGTAGTTAAATAGGGAGAAGAAAAATTTTGAAACCCCTCATTTTGTTAAATTGAATATTGTTTTCCAAAAATTATTTTTTTAGTAGATGTATTATTAAAAGAATCTTTTAATTTTTCTGAAAACAAGAAAAAAGTCAGTTCTTAGAAAAATAAATGATAAAGACAATGTAAATAATATTTTGATTTGAAATAATTTTGATATTATTTTTGAACAAATTTGGTATAATATGTAATAAATATTTAGTTTCAAATTTGTCGCACAATAATGACATGCAAATTATTAATGCATTGTAATTATTTTATGACATGAATTAATGAAAAAATGACAGAAAAATTATTAAGAAGAAAATCAGCCGATAGATTTCAATTTGCTCGTGGTTAAATTTGGAGTGCAAACAAGTTTTATTTGGTTAAGTTTTCACTTAAGTAAATATTCCATTTAAAAACACATAATTAACAAAAAAATAAGTTAAAATATTTTTTTATAAATTCGGGCTTTTTAACTCTTAATTAGTAAGAACGTTGCTGAAAATATGTTGAAAATATAGTAATTTTTTGTTAAATTTTGTGAGTTTTTGAAAATGCACTATTTAAATGCAATAATGCAATTTAGACTAATGCAAGCATTTATCCATTAAAATAGATATCCTTATGTACAATGCGAAGAAAAAGAGGAAAAGAACTTTATATTGTAAATAACTACAGATTTATTGATCCAATGTTTACGCACTAAAATGCAAACTTGGCGTTTCGAAGGATCCGCCTATGTTATGCAATAAATTTAAAATCGTTTTCCTGTATCTAGATCACAATGTGTTTGCTAATCGATCCTAATGTGCCGATTTCTGGAGGATATGGTACAAATTGTTTAGATAGAAAACCAGCTTACTGTTTTGGTTCATCAATGTTATTTTGATTTTTCGATATCTCAACAATATTTCTAAATAAAAAAACAGGATTTATAAGTTATTTGAATTCCTTTAAAGATTTTGTTCCATCGAAAATAATTTTCTACAAAAAACTAGCTTAATTAGTTATTTATTTATTGATTTTAAAATTAAAAGTTCTTTGAACTCATTTATAATTTCTGTTCCCTCAAAAAAATTTATATAAGAAAAGTTTAGAAAATTATTTTTTTACTTAATAGTATTTTTATTATCAAAAGGTTCTCTGAACTCATTTATTGATTTTGTTCTCACAAAAATAACTTTCTTTCAAAACAAAAATTAAAAAATTATTTTTTTTACTTAATATATTTATAATTAAAGAAAATTTTAAATTTATTTATATATTTTTTTCAGTTACTAATAATTTTATGTAGAAAAAATTATTATTTTTTTACTATTTTTTATTTTTATAATTATTTTTTTTACTTGAAAGATAATATTACCAAATTGTTCTTTAAACTCATTTATAAATATTGTTCTCTCAAAAGAAATTTTGTATGAAATAATAATATTTTTTTTACTTAATAGTATCATGCTGATTAAAAAGCTCTTTGGCTCATTAATAGATTTTGTTTTCTCGTATTTGTATTATTTCTCAAACGCTATTGAATTTTTTTTCAGTTTGCTGACATCAAAATCTAACTATGTACAATTTTATTTCTGCCCGATTTTGGAAGTCGTAAGAAAATAAACAGTTTTTAAAAACTAAAATTAGTTTTTTTACAAAAATAAAAATAATGATTTTGAAGGAAAGTTTTAAATTAATTCAAAGACGGTGATGAGATGAGATAAATAATTAGGTTTTTTAATAATCTAGTTAAAGGAAATTCTCCCTAAATTGGCTATTACAAAAATGAAAAGATCTCAAAAAATTTTCTTATAAGTCCATCTTATTTACTATTATAGTTCTTAAAATTCTACTTAATCATAACGCTTGTGCTCTGAAAAAAATCCGTTCAATAATGAATAATGTCATCATTATCTTAAATCATACAATCGTGCCATTTTTGCAACCTTAATATGACATTAGATTGAACACTTTACTATCAAATAAGGCCACAGAATCATGAAATCCTGTTAACGAAGAATTGATTTTTAGCGTAACATGGTTCAGCTTGTAATCGTATTAAGGTTTAGTTCAGGGTTGTGAACAATATTAGGGTTCAATCTGTGCCTAAATTTCTCATCAATGGAATCAGATCAATGGAATTTTATTTAAGTGACGACAACTGGATCATAGATGGACTCACAAAACTGTTTTCAAACTAAACATGTCGCATCATTTATGCATAATAAGCCTAACATTTACAGGTAAAATTCAGGGTATTTCGTAAATACTGCTCTTAATACATACTTTAAGAACCCTTGTCAAAATTGGAGATAAAAATATATATATATATTGGAGGGAGGCAATCGAATTTTTATTTAAGAGAGGAAGAATCAAAAACGTTATTAAAATTTTAAAAATAACAATAAAGGAAGATGTATGTGCAACGTATTAAAATATCTATAGATTAAAGAATCAAAGTGTTTCGAATAACTGTCCTTCAACTCCTCTTAGTTTGCTCCAGTAACTCTCTCTTTACTTAAGTTCATTCTTACTTTAAGTGTATTTTTACTCTGGCTTTCCTAAATTATTACTTTGATCTTGTTTTTTATTTAATAACTTAAAATAATTATTTATAATATAATATACCATGAGCAGATTTAATTCTTTATATTTGATAAAATTACTGAAAAACATACTAAAGATAATGTTTACGGAACACCTTTTAAATACACCATTTATTTTGTTTTAATTTGCCAAACTAAGCAATAAATTTCCAAAAAACTTTCTAAGTAAGCAATACCAAGTAAATTACTGAATTAGTCATGTGTGTGATAATACCATTGAATTTATTGTGACGCATATATGATTTTTATCAGAATGATAATTTGTTCTTTCATTCAATTTGCAAGTAGACCCAATAAATTTCAATATTTTGGAGTTAATGATCGCATAGCAAGTAATTTTTACAATTGTTTTTTCTTCTTCAACAAGCTTTATTTTCATAATAAATATCTATTGTTAACAAATAGGATTTTAATGCCTTTCTTACAAATATTGTTTGATTATACCGTACGTGTTTTTTTACTACAGATACTTTTTTTCATTGAACTAGCATTTACTGTTATTTCAAATAAACTCTTAGCATTAAAACTACTGAAAAATGTAATTGACGCAATTTAAATGTAAGGTAATACTTTACAGTGTTCTAATTCTATTTCGATTACTATTGTAATTATTTATTTTTTGTGTATTTTTTATATATTTCTTTAATTTTTGTGGAAAATTATTCAAAATCAAAGAAATACTTTTTAGAATCTCTTCTGCTGAATTTAAATGGTACTCGTTAACCAAACAAATGTTTCTTTCAACTACGTCGTTTCGAAAGCATTTCGGTTTAATGCTTTCTGTATGTTTATTATGCCTACTTATGTTTTAACTACTCTAATATTTAATGGCCAACAAGCTTATTTAGAAACGTTGTCATAACTAAAATTCACTCTGAAAATGCTTTTGTTATCTAAAGATTTACGTCACATAGACTGTGGTAGTTAAGTGTTTGACTTTGTTTAATTTTGCATAATATTTACTGGACGTACGGGCGTAAATGTTTGGCTACCCTTGCAAGGAATTTAATAAACTTGGTAGCTTTAGGTTTAAAAGTTTATACATTAGTAGAAAGTAGAAAATAACCTCAAACTATGTGGCTTCATGAAATTAATATGTATTAAATAGGACACTGAGAAAAAATGCTAGAGTATGGTAAAATTTACTGTATTGTTTTACTTAATGGGAACACCAAAAAACTCCATGACTCTTCACGTTGCTTTTTGGTAATGATTTTTGGAAAATTAACCATAAATGATGTTATGATATTATGTTATAAAATTAGGTAAATGTAGTAAAGCTTCGTAATTTTGTCATGATACCTTAGAGCATGGCCCAAAAACTATTTATGTGTTAAATTTACTTTTCAGTTTCGTATTTTGTTCCAAAAGTGTAGCAACAAAAACTATAGTTTTAAAAACCAGAAATTCCAGGAAACAGTTACGATATACATTGACAAATTACCAAATTAATGGTTCAAATATCTGTAGAACTATACATTTTGATTATATTAACTTATGTTTTTTTTTAAATGGTATACCCCAGTATGCTAATTTAAACAGATTATTTTTTCTCTGTGTACAAGCAAGATTATTTTGCAGTGTAATAAAATTAAAAAATCCACATAATAAGAATTTAAAAAATCGTACTATGACTTCCAAATTTGTAGACGGCATAAAGCTAACCCATAAAATATTTTAAAATTTCTTTTTCTTTTTAATCCTGATGCTGTTGTTTCTTAACAAAGATGATATAACTTGGCTACACGATCTTTATAAAACCAAGAATCTATAAAAATTCTCATAACAGATTAGGAT